CGGGTGCTATCCTTGCTTTTGGTCTGGAGGTATAGGTCCATTCGACATATACGATCACGGGGGCACCTGGGCTTGACTATTGTTACTGCGCTTTCAGAAGCGCAGTAGTACTAGCCGTTATCAATAGAATTTCCCGGACATATCGTCAGCTCGTACCCCTAGTCAGATTTCAGTTTGGGAGTCTTCTGGGCGCGCACGGTCACAGACGGCTACGCAGCGCTGCTCACGCGGTTGAGAGGCCTTGTACATCGCTGGTCACATCTGACACAGTTCAAATATATAAAGGCCCATCGATGAGCAATCACCCATCCCACCCGCCCACACACCTGCAGAATCAACCATGGCTGACTGGACTCATTACTCTGATATCGATCCAGAGTTCAAACTATTGGTGGACTCCCTTCCTACAATGCCCACTGGTCGATCTGTTGAACAGATACGAGGGTTTGTCGATGCGGCTGTTGAGCAAGGAAACAGGGAGTTTGAGTCGCATCTTCCCCCGAGTACGTTATCGCTGCCGCCGAACTCGAGGACACGGCAACGACTGACAATCTTTCCTTCATAGGTTCCGAGTATACCGTTACGGAGCATGAAATCGACGTTGGAGGAGGTGTTACGGTGCTTGCGAGGAGTGTGGTGCCCACCCCTCGTGATGGAGAAGACGGCACTTTCCCGCTGTTATTTTGGATGCATGGCGGAGGTGCGGGTGTCTGTACTCAAGATATGGCCCAGAACTGACCTCGCTTTTTTTGCGCACGATCACAGGGTGGGTTAAAGGTAGCCGGAATAACGATGACTACGCGCTGAGGGTTGAGAGTGTTCAGGTCCGTATTGCTGTTGTCAACTGCGAATATCGGTGAGTACCACTCCAGCTATGGAAAGAAGCAACGCTCATTGAATTACAATGCACGTCATCGGCAGTCTGGCGCCAGAACATCCCTTCCCTGCAGCAGTAGATGATGTCTTTGCGGCTCTGAAATTCGTGGCTTCCAACCCCGAGAAGTTTTCTGCTTCGCTGAAGAAAGGATTCCTCGTCGGTGGGCCATCTGCGGGCGGCAATTTATCAGCTGTTCTATCGTATCTCGCTCGAGATGACTCGTTCTTCAAGGACAAGCCTTTGACAGGCCAGTTTCTCCAAATTCCGTGTGTAGTCCACTTCGAAGCTGTTCCTGAGAAGTGAGTAATTGTCAAGGTGGTCTCTACAACAGTGCTAACCTGACGTCGTCAGATTCAAATCCTTGTATCGATCGTTTGAGCAGAACAAAGATGCTCCGATACTGAATAGATCCAACATCGATGACTACTATTGTACGTCGTTTCGTCTAACAAAGGGTTTCCTTGTGTCTGATTCTCTGACTCTCCGAAAGCTATGTACAAGCCAGTTGCCACCGATACGAGATGCTCCCCCCTTCTGTTGGAGACCCACAAAGGCTTACCACCCGCGTTCTTGCAAATCTGTGGGCTTGACCCGTTGCGCGACGAGGGACTCATCTACGAGAAAGTGCTCAGGGAGGCGGGCGTCCCTACCAAACTCGAAATGTACGAATGTCTTGCTTACTGGCAGAGAATCGTTACTTACGCGTACCGCCCAATTCCAGATATCCTGGTGTCCCTCATGGCTTCGAGGATGTGGCGCCCCAAATTAAACAGGCGGTGAAGCTTCGCGAGGATATTCGTATAGGGCTGAAATGGTTGCTCGACCAAGGAAAAGCTTGAAATACAAGCTGCATCATGTTGCGTGCTTCTGTGCGAGGATAAACTATGTACACCTCGAACAGGCGCCGATGCCCGAGACAGCCGTATATGATGAATGGGGAACTTGGCTAATAGACAGCGCCTTCTTCGCTCAAGTCCGAGCTTTTGGCGACTCAGAAGCTACAATATCCCACGAATACCATCAGAACAAAGCCGCCAACACATTCATGACGCATAACATGGTGTGGATCTCTTTGAGATTAATGCATGGGCTGAATCTTCAATGGGTCAAGATAACCCAGCCGCCCCGCCCACGAGGGTACCTGGAATCGCCACCTTCGCACTGCTTGTCCTCGTCGACAAACCCTCTTCAACGGCTCATACAACTTCTCCACGAGCTTGCTGCCCACAACCGTCCTGAGCCTTGCCACCTCGCTCAAACCCACATCACCGTCAGCCTGTTCCCATCTCACCTTGATAAAATCGACAAAGGTTTCATCCTCGTCGAAATGAGAGTGAACCCCGAGCCTCAGCGTCTCGAATTAAGGAATGAGTAGATGTTGCACGGCAGCGAACCCATATGCCGCGACCGTTGAAGCCTCGAGTTTCTTGAGGAACCATTTCGTCATAACCTGGTACTTGGGCTTCGGTTTTTTGGGCACCCGGCTGTATTCACGAGCCACATCTTCACGATATCTGTCTGTAGCCCAAAGTTTGCATAGGGTAAACGTGTGAAGGGACGGGGTATACTCAAGCAAATCGATCACTTCGTTCTCCGACGGGCATCACTTCGAGTGCGGCCAGGGTCGTGAGGGTGCAGTCGGAAAAGTTCAAGAAAGCTATGGAACGTGTCTCGAGGCCATGTCCCGAAGCACTTCGACCCTTCCTCGTAGTTCAAGTCATAAGGAAGACTGAGATAGATCTTGAGGCCTCAGGCCCAAAGGGGTTCTTTACCCTGTAGGCGCCTTGCTCCGAAGTGCCTCGTTGCCTGTCTCGCAAGACCTCAAGCCCAGCCTGAGTCCCTAGATAGTAGCAATTAGCGTCTACCATAGTACATTTAAGCGGCATTCAAGTACATGTGTAAGTAGAATATCTATAGAATATCTCAAATGCCTTCACCTCGAAAGACCTGCGAGTGCAGGTACACTGTCCTGGTCGGCCGGAGCACTGGCCGGCGTGGACCGACCGAGGACCTACACATGCCCACATAATCCTCATCTTCAGACTCTCATCCATTTCCGATTCTCGTATACAGGTAAGCTATTCATCTATCTTGCCTCTCCAGACACTATGACTCAAGGAATACGAGCTTAGCAGACAGCTGCGACTTGCGAAAAATCGAGTCCTCGCATCCTTGTTTCTTCGTATTCTCTCTGGCTTCTGTGATTTGGTCACCTTGGAAGGGTGAAGGAAGGATGTGAGTTGCAGAATTCATTTTCTCTTTCTCTACTTGAATGACGTGATCTCTTTCCGTATCTCCCTCAACTCACAGTATGATGGATTCCGTTCTTCCAGACATGCAACCTCGCGCGTTGAATGCCCCAATGTCACCTGAAGAGCTTTTGGCGACGCTCAGAAGCTACGATATCCCTCAAATGCTACCAGGACAAGGCCTCCAATACATTCACGACGCACAGCACGACGTGGATCTCTTTGAAGTTTGCATTCATCGCCTTCACGAGGCAGGCAGTTCTCAGACGCGACATAGGCCGTTACAGCTCTCTCAGCTCTCCAGTCCGGAAAGTTCCGCTTGAAATTCTGCGAAGGATCTTTAGCTTTGCTTCAGGCCAAAGTGATTTTCGTCGCGACCCCAGCCAATGGAATCCTACAGTCTTTCACGGTTGCGATGCATTCACCTGAGCTATGGGTGAACTTCTGTCTCTCTGTGGGCGACGAGAGGACTTTTGGGCCTGCGCGACTCTCACTCGCTCGCTCGCAACTGCATCCTCTTATAATCAGGATTGAGGGAGGCTAGGAGGATTTCCTGGAGAACGAAGAGCTCATCTCCCTTCTATTTCAACACTGTGGCCGGTGGCTTCAAGTTGACTTCTCAGAGGTGTCCTTGGTGTATCTCTCAGGGAGCATTAACAGGTTCGAGACTACCCCTCTTCTGGAATCGATAGTTTGTTCTGGAGAAAAAGTCGGTGCGGTCGTGCATTGTATCACCCATGCACCGATGTTCCAGGAGGTCCAGTTGAGGTTCTGGGAACAACAACTCCTCGAATCCGAATTTTCCTCCTTCCCATGGGACAGCATTCGTTATCTGACTTACGACGGTAGCCCTGGTATCGAGGCATTCTTCGAAGCATTGGATCGTGGTTCTCAGCTTAAATCCATCACGTTGCACGGAATGGCGACAGTAAACGACGGCAACACTATAGAACCATACGAATCCTCAGGGAATCCCGCAGAATGCGTCTCATCCAACATCTCTTCCCTTTCAGTCGAACTCTCGAACCGCGTGGGCTTCTTCCCCATGTTGTATGACCTATTCCGAAGAACGACATCGCCATCTCTCCAAAACTTACGCCCTACGAGATACTACACAGGGAAGAATACCCCACTTCTGGCGTATGACCTCGTTTCACGGTTCGCAGTTTCTTCAAGCGATCAGAATGCAACCTCACAACACTGGCTTTAGAAGGGCTAATACTCTCAGAGAGCGATGTCCTCAGTTTGCTGCAGTACACCCCTTCTCTTCACACATTTTCTCTCTGAACTCTGGGCCACGGACGACTATCGTGACTCAAAGTACACACAAGAGCGTGTTCCGAAGCCCAACGGTCAGATCGTAACGAAGGCATTCCTCAAACGACTTCAGTCGACTACATTCCCAGCAAATCCATTCTCTTCCCAGCATCCCCTCGTTCCAAAACTCAGGTACTTGAAGCTCGGTGTCCAGTCTCACTTCGACGGTGACGAGGTCTTTGTGAATGCTATACAGTCGCGATGGGAGAGACCGGATGGTGGCTGGTGCTCGAATGAGATGGATAGGTTGAGGACTGTCGTCTTATACGTTGTGGGTAGGGACTTGGTGGCGCAGATATACGGACCACTAAAAAGGATCGACCGGGAAGGGATGATGATTAGCGTCTTCGGGAATGAGAAACGTGTAGTTTGATTGACTTTCAATACTTCTGGGACTCTGCTTGTTGTATGCCGAATACTTGTACCTTCACTATTCACCCGTTGAATGTAATCTGCGATACATTAACTTCCAAATTCTGCGGTACTGTTCAGTCCACGTCTGTCATATAGAAAAGCCGACCACACAATTATCACATTATCCAAAATATATATACACTCTCCCTGGCTGGGAGTCGAACCCAGCTTTCGCGCGTCGAAGATCCATGACAGGCGCGTGTACTAACCGATATACTACCAGGGATCTTGCTCTAGTGTAGAATGTTCGTATCACTATAGAATTTGTTATAGATACAACTGGATCATAAGGAGATCATGGTCTCGATGTATACATACATTTGCAGATACAATCATATCTTATACGTGTCAAAAGTTTTGATGAATGCATAGCAACACCTAGAAAAGCCCAGTAGCCTGCTTCGCTCCTGATACAACGCACCCAGCTAAAGCAGTTACTCCTGATAAGCAATTCGTGCTTGTCGAAGTTGTGGTGCTCAGCGATGTTCTCGTATTGGTGCTGGTGCTGGCATTGCTTGTTCGTGACGACGATGAGGTACTTGTGTTGGTCACAGGGATAGTCGTACTCGTTCTCGAACCGGACACAGTAGAAGAAGAGCTGCCCCCAATCAACACTCCCGCAGTCGAACTGGTCAAACCTGGCATACTGTTGAGTGAAGTGGTTGAGCCACTTGCGCTTGTAGCAGAAGTGGCGGACAAGGTAGGCGACGTGCCTCCCGTCAGGCCACCGACGACGTTCCCGAGGGAAGAAGATGAGAATATCGTGGTTGTGGCGATATTTGTCACGGCTGTGGTAATCCTAGATGATGTTCCAGAGCCGACTGGGAAAGAGTTGCTGCCGCCAGTCCAACCGCCCCCAATCGAGTCAATGATCCCAATGCTGGGTGCAGCGGAACTCGTCGAGGTGCCTGTGCTAGTTGCGAAGGAGGCACCACCAGTGATGATCCCGGTGACGGTGCCAATGACACCCGTGTTTGCGATTGCCAAAGATGATGTAGTCGTGGCCAATGATGTATTTATGGCAGAGCTGGATGTCCGTCCACCACCAATTGAACCTCCGACAAGGGAGGTTACAGAACCGATGTTTACTGTATTGCCACTCGCTGAAGAGGTCGCTGAAGCCGTGCCAGGTAAAGTTCTTGTATTCGCAGAAGGGGAGGTGAGGCCAGTCAGATCTCCGACAATGGAGCTGATAGGTGTTGCGATAGGAGTGAGACTCGTATTCCCGGATGACCCAGTGGGGTCAGGTGTAGAGCTAGCACTGGCCAAATTTCCAACAACGGAAGTTTCTACACTAGCGCCGGTGCTCACTGCGCTTATGCCAGGTAAGGTTCCTGTGTTCGCAGACGAGGACAGACCATCAATCAAGCCTCCAACGACAGAGGCGATAATACCCGTGTTGGATCCGACAACGGCGGGCGATTTGGTAGAGGATGGTGTTCCCGCTGCCCTGGATGAAGTGCCGCTCGTAATTCCCGCATTGATTGCAGTAGGTAAGGGTGTACCTGTCAAGATGGAATCTATCATAGAAGTGACAGAACCGATCACTGGTCCATGACTGGTGGCAGCGGTAGCTTCGACGGTCAAAGAAACTCCAGTTGCGTCAAAGACAGGAATTGTGGGGGCCGAACTACTTCCTGGGACTCCTGCTGTACTTCCCAGTTCACTGGCAACGAGACCGGTGCTTCCGGCAGCAGTTGAGATGGCGGCTTCGAAAGTGCTGGCAAGAGCGTTGCCGGTGGCGACACCAGCAAGAGAAGCAGCTTCAGCTACAGTGCTGGTCAAGCCGGGCCCCAGAACTGTGCTGCTTGCCCGAGTAACCACGCCCCCTGTGATAATAGTAATGATTCAGTGAGCAATGTTCAATCGTTCCAGGTATCGGAAGACTAACCCGTACTGCTCCCCGCTGTCCCGGTAGTAACAGCAACTACAACTCCTATCGTGGAGGTCGGGTTGACGTTGCTGATTACATCTCCAACTATGATAGGAGTGCTGGCAGCGACGCTACCAGAGGTATCCAAGGAGGTCGAATCTCCCGTGATGCCTACAACAGCCCCGTTAACCTCGCCTGGAATCCAGGACAATACGTTCAGCGTCAAGGAGCAATTCACAAGCGGAAATACGTACTCGCAATACTTTCGACCGTCCGGGTGACACTAGGGACCACGACTCCGAAGGTGCTCACGGGGACACCCCCATTGGACTCTCTAGCCGCTCCGGTAGCCACAGGCACAATATTACTGGTTGCTGCTAGGTTGCCTGTGGCGCTTAGGACGGTACCGAAAAGTTCTCCTATACAGCCGGACAGTCATGTTCACGGCAAGATGAAACGTACGATACTGTTAATCAACTCACCTGAGGTGGTTCTGAGTGCGCCACTGGCACTCGATACCACATCTGCAATGGTAGACGTGGGACTGGGGTTCCCATCAAATTCTCCAACCCCTCCGATAGCGAGCGCCGCAGACGCCACAGTAGTCAAGATTTTGGTGGCTGAGTCAAGACCTCCCGTGACGCTAACGGCCCCTGATAAACGAATTTCTGAGGACTTCGCAGATTGAGGAGTGACCACAAAACTCACCAGTCCCGGATTCAAGAGGGCTGTTCACAGCACCCCCCACGCCCACAACACTACTGGTAGGAAGCGCGATGCCAGCTGGTTGTCCTACTGTGCTCGTTGCTCCACCAATGGTACCTCCCAACACTTGAAAACCAGTGGGCGCTGTTAAAGCGATCGTAACAGCTCCAGCTGCATCTCCTGAAAAGAAGCTTCATGGATGAACCGACGACGGAGAAGAGGAGTGCGGCGTACCTGCAAGGCTCCCTGTAGCGCCAATTATACTCGTAACATTCATAAGAGTGCCGGTAGGAACGATATCCCCGACTCCTTCAGCCCCCTGAGTGACAACAGAGCCTGCTTTACTCAACGTGCTCGTAACCGGGCTCAGGTCTCCGGTCATGCCTGCAACACTTTCAATCGCGCCGGTGATGGCCACTGTCACATCTCCAAGGGTCCTCGTGGGGATGTTGCCAACTACGATTCCTCCAACCAAACCAGTGACGTCGGGTGCGACACTAGTCAAAATACTGGTTGAGGCAAGCGCGCTAGGCAGGAACCCAATTGTAGCACGGGTCACTGATTGTCAAGTCGGGAGATTCGGTCAGAACATCGAGTCGATCGGGATTCAACAGTGCTTACCTTCAGCGGCTGTGCTTTCGTTTATGACGCTCGCTGCAGTTTTAGTAACAACACTGAGATCTAAAGACTCTCCTGTGGCGCTCTGGAGACCGCCGACCAGTGCTCCTATCGATTAGAGGTTCATGAGCAGATGAGTACCAGTCACGGAAAGAAGAAATCAAGCATTGAAACACACCTGCAGCACTGCCAGTCGCTCCGTTGGTGTCAACAATTGCAGTGGCGAAAGTGATCGCAGGAATAGCGCCACCAATATCTCCTCCGACCCCATGGGTGGCGCTTGCCACCACACTGTTTGATATATCGGTAGCACCTCCGAGGTCCATGGCAACAGCGCAAAATCCGGTTAGAAGGATGTAGACCAGAGAATTGGTAGCCAAAGCTCACCTGCAGCATTCTGAACCGTCCCAGTAGCATCCGCAATCACAGACCCAAGCATACTTGTGGGATCGGTACCACCAGCGATTTCTCCAACCATTTTCGTTGCATCGCTCACAAGACTGCTAAAAACGGTCGAGACTATGTTTGGCATTCCAGTACCAGTGGTGACGAGGCCACCTGTTAGATTACCCATGAAGGGAAAAGGTTAACAGAAAGCAAAACAAGACATAAAGTCACTTACCAGCAGCGTTCGTAGGTCCAGTGAGTGTGCTCTCAAAAATGTCTGTAGGGATAGAAGTCCACGTGAGATCTCCGACTGCGCCTGTAGCATCACCAACAACGCTGGTCAGAATGCTGGTAGTCATGCTAAGCACCCCTGTTTTATGCCTCGATTAGTAAGGACATATTCAAGAAGGACTCAAAGCATACCGATGGGATCACCAAGTCTTGTCAGCACATTTCCCGGGATATCGGTGGGAACGATACCACCGACGATATCCCCGACCGTGTTGGAAACGCCCGCGGCGATACTACTGAGATCTCCGCCCCGAAGAATCCCGGTGGCGTCTCCTGGAACGAAATGCGAACACATCAATGGGATAGTGTAGATAGGGTAGGGCAAGAAAACAACTGGATTCGTGAACTTACCTGCAGCGGTCTCAAGTGCTCCCGTGGGACTTGTTACCAAGTCTCCTACGGTACTCGTCGAGACGACGATGGTATTTGCGATGTTCCCAATTATTGCAGTTGCAGCTGCCACGGTGCCCCTCAAATCCGACGTCAAAGTCTCAGTGATAGTGTCCGCACCCTCTCCTGAAAGACAAGAATGGATGAGATCCTCGAAGCACAAAGAAGGTCATAGTACGTACCTGTGACACCTTCAAGTGCGGCAGTAACTTGTGTGGCAAAACTTCCGAGAGTGCCAGTGGGAGGAATTTCACTCGTGATTCCCCCGATCGCGCTGGCCACACTACTCAGAACGCTCGTAGTTGTAACGGAAGCAAGATCCTCCGTCGCTACTTGTCCTCCAACCGAAGTGACTGCACCTCCCGCGGCACCAATTTCATCTCCAATTTCATCTCCCACAGTCGAAGTCGTCTGTCCGATTACTCCCTGAACCGAGCTGACGACTGTCTCGCCTACGGCCGTAACGTCGTCGGCGGCGGCACTAACTGAGGGCAAAAATGTTCAGGTAATGATATTACAGGAGATCAAAGCGGCGGTCGACTCACTCGGGACACTCGTGGCACCTACAGCCACACCCGTCGCTTCGCCGATCGCGCTTGTAAGGCCTCTGATAGCGCCCGTTCCTATGTTTCCAAGGGTACCCGTCGGGACCGTGGTGCCTGCGATATTCTGAATTACTGAGGTTACGTCTACCACAACGCCACTCAAGTCCGACGTCAGAGTCTCAACGACGCCGATCCCAGTTCCTTCGCCTAAAAACAGAAGCAGATAAGCTATCAGGAACCAGGGAAGGGCAGAATACGCACCTCCAGCCACACTCATAACCTCTGTTGCGACCCCTCCGAGAGTACCAGTAAGGGGAATATTACTCGTGATCCCCCCGATTGCACTTGTCACGGTAGCCAACACGGGACTCAAAATATTCGTGATCGTGATGGATGGAAGAGCCCCCGTCGTGACTT